GCAGTGTATTTTGTAAACTCATCTCACTTATTGTGTTTCCAGTGTTATCCGATACCGTCATGATCAATGTCACCGAGTCTGGAAATGCGTAAGTGGATACTGTACAAACACATACATTGAATAAATGCATGTTTTTTGTGTTCTCGTCAAATATGCGCATTCATATCAGGAGATTTACCTTGAGCATTACCTTTATTCATTGCTTTTTTTTATTACGACAAAACGATTTCCTCAGCAACACGTTTTTCACCAATAGTTTGTCTGGCATGATGATTTTATATGGCAGTGGGCTCTGCATATTTGATGAAGATATTTTGTTCTGCTTTTAATTCAAGACCTACATTTACATTTCTCTGAACATGTAATTTGGGCGACCTTATATTCTGCATATAGATAATAGTCCGTTGCGCAGAGTCAATCTGACACTGACCTAAATATGAACAGGACAGAAACGTGTTTGTTTGTTGGTTGGTTGGTTGGTTGGTTGGTTGGTTTGATTGATGTCTTCCACATCATTTCTGTATTGGTTGATAAACATCTCGCCTAATTTTTAAACGAAACTCGATTTTGTATGACAGAAAGTGAAGCGTTATCGAAATTAATTACAGTTTTTACCATCATGATGCAAATAATGGTTTGAATTGATAGAAAAGGGGAAAGATTGTTCGTTTATATTAAAGTGACAATACACTTAAACATTTCTAAACAAACAGATGATCTGTGATTTGATATTATATTTTCAATAAATGGTGAAAATTGAAAAAAAGTATCCAAACGAGAGGAGTAAATAGTTTTATATTTTACGTGTATAATCAGAGTAACATTTTCTTTTTAATGCGTACATATATTTCTAGAAACCATGTTGTTAAATTATATTATTTAGCTTCAGTTAAAGATAAAACTAAACAGCCATTCTTGTATCTGTTTATATGAAATTGCAATCAAAGAATGTTAAGGAAATCAGCGTTGCTCTTTCAAACATTAAACAAAATTAATTCTACATGATGATTGCCATAGTCAGTGAGTCCATCATGGCCTCTGTCCCAGGAAGGAAAGCACATCTGGAGGCAATACCTCGTTGATGTAACATTCGGTTGAGAGATTAACGTTCAAAACAACAAGGTCCCAAATAATGACGTCGCTTCCTCGAAAAATCTTCTGAACACAACGATTCGTGCGTTCTCTCCGACGACAATACAAACTTACGTTGCGATATGTTACGAAGAGCAGAAACCTGCTCTCACCAGATAACATGACTCCCTGCCAGTTCCCGTTCTGCATCGATTAACACTGAGCGCCTGTGAAGATTATCACAGTTGAAAGTGCCCTGTTCTTGAATCCACGAAACTGTAGAACAGTCGATGTTTTCCGATAGGCATCCCGTCCTTACTGGGCAAGTCGATAAGTTGCAAGTCGGGTGCTAGAAGGTAGGCTTCGCGTCGCCCTCGTCTCGAATTATGTTGATCTGTCTTAGACTGGGACTGAATTTGGTTTATCAACAACCTAAGGAGGTCACTCTACCATACGACCTGCCTTTAGATTATCACCACAGGCCAACGGAACCATTTTTTAAATTTTATGAATGCCTCTTTTACGAGCGCTTCAACTAGCTGCCATCAACAATCATCAGAAATAAACGTGTAATAAATACTGCCACCTGTCACTGCCCTGTCAATTCTCTGTCCAGTCAGTCGGTATCGCGACAGGAACCATTATGATTGTTCGAGAGGTCAATCAAGACGTCTAGTGACAGTGCCGTGTCTGGCTTCGAACTGCAGCATACCAATGATCCTGTCTCCCTGTTCAGCCAACAAACGTGGCCTGTTATTGTTGATATATGGATTCCTTATGCATTGAGGAATAAAGATTATATACCCATTGGCATCATGTGATCATGAAGCACGTGCATTTCCAAGTATAGCGAATGAAGTCATTTAACACGGAATGCAGTGACCTTATGCAGTTGCCCGTGTTTGTGGTTTCAAAATTTGACGCATCTGTGACAAAATATACCCATGCATTTTTAGGTGAATTATTGACTTGCCACTGCATGTTTTTGTGACGGGTGCCTTCGGTGGTGCAGGATGCGCTTACCTTTTGCGAACACCTCGTATGATCCCTATTCATAAATACATGATCATGTCACAGTCGGAATCGTGCAATCGACTTGGCTAAGGAAAAAGGATTTGTCACTTTTATTTTAATACAATGTGTTTATAACAACAGTTATTCCTCCCTCGAAGACAAGACATACACTTCGATTCTTTTTTGACACAGTACAATATTTTGCACTGTCAAACAAATGGTTTTGGATAGCTTGATATGATACTAATTTTATGATCACGTTGTATGGGCGTGAGAAGTGGCAAATATTAATACCGTGACCATCTGCACTTCACAGCTGATCTGAATATGTTTGACTAGCTTGACAGATACATCTTAATGTGACTGGACATAATGTATTATTTATTTATATAAATGTACCAATGGTGCAATGGTGCATCATGAATCATTTCAGAAGTTAAGAATATGTATGTATGCAAAGATTTATAGTCCATCATTTGGTGTAAGCATCTAGATTTAAACATCAGTAAGAAACTTATACAAATCGTATGCAAATCTGCCCTGAAACATCTAATACAAATCATCCAAAAACCATCCTAGAAAAAGAAAATAAAGTACTTCAGATATTTTACGTTCCTTTCCTCATACAGCTTTTCAGGGGTGATTTCTTGTTCCACTGTACATTTATCTCAACTGTAGCAACAGTAGTCGGATAAAGATAACACATATGATTAATACATAATTTCTAGAGATGTCACAGTAGTCTGTATTTTCAACGTCTAAGGCAACTTATCTTATCAGGCTTACTTTTCTGACAATGTCATCTTTATGACGACGAAAGTACAAAAACAATCGCTTTTAATAATTTTGGTGAAACTAAGTTGTGCCACCAAAGTTGTGTTCACTTATTATTATTTATTTGAAACTCCTGTGATATTCTCCCTTTGTTTTCTTACCACTGTTGTTTCATTATTCCTAATCGATCGGAAATTCCCGCTGTCACTATATGGTGCTTATTCTCTTTCCAATTAACTCGCGAATATCATAATTCATCCGTGGAATTTCATTCGATGTATCTGTGACATTGCTATTAGACATGCCGATGTCGCAAACATTCATTTAACAAAGGAATTTAACCGTTTACCTTAAATTCATTAACATATGGTGACAACGACAATGCATTCCGGTCGATATTATAGTACTTGCAATATCTATTTTTTCAGTAGCCACTGATGAATATTAACGCATGTACTGTTTGCCATTCACATTAGCAGGCACAGTCGCATTGATATCAACATATACTGGGAAATGATAGCCACAAACTGGTATTGCTATCACGCCGGAATTTCGTACCATGTTTAAATGTGACACCAATATTAAGCCAATCAATGTGCTGGTATTGGGGCGATTCTAGTTCGAATTCCGGTACTGCTCAGGACCAGACACTTCACACTCGAAACCGTTAATGTGTGATTTTGCATCAAGATGTAAATATCAAAGGTAGATTACCGTCTTCGTTATTCTTGTGGTGTTGACTCAGATGTCAATTCATTGCACGACCCAAAATATGCAGAAAATATTGTTTACTTCCATTGTAATTGTTGTGCAGTAATTTGTATTGATTTGTAAACTTAGTGAATTTTGTAATACATTTGTAGGGGCGGTGGGGTAGCCTAGTGGTTAAAACGATTGCTCGTCACGTCGAAGACCCTGGTCCGATTTCCCATATGGGTACAATGTCTGAAGCTCATTTTCCGGTGTCCTCCGGAAAATTGCTTATAGCTATGTAAAAACATACTCACTCACTCATTGTAATACAATTGTTGATTGTATAACACTTGTTGGTTGTTTGTTGGTTTCACACCAAGTTCTTTTACGTACATATTTCTGGGTTAACATATTGTTTCAACTTGGAAATTGACACGTAACAATGTTTATTTGCACACTCAAGCAACAAAATCACAACTGTGATACTTAAACCCTGTGTGGAGAACATAGGTTTTGATTGTGAGGTTACCCGTGAAGATCCGTGGTAAAATAGGTCTTCAGCAACCCATGCTTGCCGTAAAAGGCGACTAACGGGATCGGGTGGTCTGGCTCGCTAACTTGGTTGATGCATGTCATCGATCCCTATTGCGTGGATCGATGCTCATGATATTAATCACTGGATTGTCTGGTCCAGACTCGATTATTAACAGACCGCCGTCATATAGCTGGAATATTGCTGAGTGCGGCGTTAAACAACGAACCAACCAACCAACCAATGATTGTGAGGCATTGTTTGCATCTACCTTTGAAGTCATATGTGGGTTTCAGCCCTTTCACTGCAATAATCGAGTGCTACTCTAACGCAGATGTCGCAGATATTCAACTCAAGCAGTATTAGAGTAATCGTTCATGTTTGAACCAGTTCTGATGTTCGTACGCCATTACGGAATCCTTCTAGAGAGGCACGAGTCGTCATTCAATGTGTTTAACGTCACCTTTGATTTTGCTATTGTGAATAATTAAAATGACAAATAACAATCTGTAACTATCATGTTATTATCAACATACTGTTTGGGTGCAAATAGACTTCTTACTTGTCCAGTAGCTGGCCAAGACATAATCCCCATCATGTTTGTTTAAGCTGGGGGTCATGTCAAACACAATAGTGGACCGGCGGATGCTTGTAACACATCGATAACGATTCGCGACACAAAAATACACGACAGATACGTTTTTTCTTCACATCTCAAATTTATTTTCTTCACATCTCAAATTTATATAATTCACAGTCCAACTACCCATGCTTGCCATAAAAGACGACTATGCTTGTTAGAGGCGACTAACGGGATCGGGTGGACAGGCTTGCTGACCTGGTTGATGCATGTCATCTTATCCCAATTGCGTGGATCCATGCACATGATGTCAATCACTGGATTGTCTGGTCCAGATTCAATTATTTACAGACCGCCGTCCTAAAGCTGGAATACTGCTGTGTGCGGCGTTAAACAACAAACAAACAAACACAGTCCAACAAAAAGTGAAACAGCATTGTGATAATCGTTCACCGGTTTCTGGTTGCCAAGAAGTTGTCTCTTCTCCAGCTCAAGGGCATGGGCTAGGTTTCGATACTTCTTCTTTATGTGTGGCATCAAACCACCTGGATTTGCATCGTAGTGTTATCTTGCTCAACCTGAGTCTGTACAGACGATTTGTTGGCGTTGACCCACAGCTCAGGCACATAGTATTGTGCTTGACAAAATCATCATCGGTATTAATGGCGGTTGGGCATCCTCTTTGGGAACATTTCCAATGGATGGAAGTTAATCTTAATCATGAACTTGTATCCGGCAAAATCCAAGTGCCGACCGCTCTTAAAATTGGAATGGATGTAAACCTGCGCACTTGCACCAGTGGAATACTGTGTCCTGTCTGTACTTCCTATTATAGCCCAAATCATTAAATGATCAATATGTTCACTCTCATTGATTTATGTTTTAAAGTTTTCACTCTGTACAGTGTTTGTGAATATAGTTCACCAAAGTAAGTTGTGTCATTATATCTATATGGAGATTTCATAAGAGTTTAAAACAAAAGATCCAATTTACAATTGGCGCGTTATAACGAAGCAATTGTAAAGCATGTCCATGTGTACGACACGAGAAATTGTTGAAAGTGTAAAACCGCGTACCAAAACCGAGTGTTTTATCCAAAGTATGAACCATCTAAATGCAAGAAATACCAGCAAATATTAGAAAACATCGGGATACCGTTTAGTGAAACAATACAGTGTGTCGCGATATAAAGGGAATTCGATCAAAGCGTGCGAGAGAAGGACAACGTGCATCATGCAGCACAATCTGAAGTCATGACAAGTAAAGCTGAATACCTGCCCCGGTGGCTCGGCGGAAAAACAGTAGTTACAAACCAAACACAATTTGGGAGGCTTGCAGGTTCGATTCCCGTCATTCATAATGAAACCTTGGGCACTGGGAGTTTGAAACACCAAATACAAATGACTCAACTCTTCACGTCTTACAAGGAAAAAGCAAAACCTCATACCAGGTGTTACTAGGAAATAGACAAAACCTCATACCCGGGGTGAGGTCTTACTAGGAAAAAGTAAAACCTCCCAAGAGGTTATTACGAGAGAGGAAGATACCTACATGACACTAGGCAAAAGTGGCTGTAGGTTTATGAAAGGTGAGCGGCTGCACCCGTCACACACTCATGCAAAGGAAGTCAATTGATCCCCCCCCAAAAAAACAGGAACAAGCTGCTTTGGGAATTGCACCGGACATATTATTTGTCACCGATGCGCCAAATTTAGAATTGTCCTCCGCATGTCAGTAAAAAACAACTTTTTAAAACTTTACTGAAGGCTTTGAGCAAGAGTTGTCTGATGTTCTTTGAAATCTTTGTAGAAAGAGCATGCTCCATTGTGGCTCAAAAGTTGTGAAATTTAGAGCCGTTGGTGGAAATACACTGGTGGCGTCTACAAGCACAGGTATTGGACTTGTAGAGCAATGATACTTATACAATGAGCATGAATATGGTGCTGCCACTCCACGGGTCATAATGGTGATGAATTTTGGATCCAAACGCACGATTAACAGAACACATATTGATATCCGTTAGGATATCTTCATTCATCGTGTTTCTGCCTCCGCTTCCCTCGCTGTCGCTGTCAATGATAACAGTGTTAAGCCTATGTCAGTCTGGTCATACAAGGGTCCCCAGTCAGGTGTTGGTTGGCTCGCCAGGCGTACACGCTGTAAAAGAGAATTTTTGTCTTGATAACTATCATTAACAGAATTGTTTACAGACAGTCGCCATACAGCTGGAATATTGCTGAGTGCGGCGTTAAACAACAAACAATCAAACTCAAAACTTCGATCTATCCACGACATCCAAACCATGTTGATTTAAATCATAAAGATCATTCAGTGTCGTTACCTTAATATGTAAATCGCGCATAACTTCAATGGCAGATCTTTGGGGAAAACGTACGCGTGCCATTTTTGGAAATATTGCACAATTACTGATTAATTACGATATGAATTTCTGATTAACCGAGGACTTGTGAGAGCGTGCATTAATCGATGAATGCACTGGAAGTTGCATTGATACTTCGATAAAAGCAAGCTTTGCTGAGCAGAGGGACTACTTTGTTGCTGACCTCCACAGGTCATGTGATTGCATCTATAATAGATTACTATATGCCCCCGTATTACACACCAGGGGGATGAAAAGAGGGCTGACGTGAAACTTTACCTGACTGAGACTCCCTTTCTTCCTGAGACACTCGTACATGAACATGACAGGTATTGGTATAGAAAACATTACTGCCAAAAGAATTCCCATTGTTTTGGCACTTTCTGGATACAGGTACTCGCCATAGCTGGGAGGATCATACCCAAACAAGGAAAAGATGAGAGCAGCCTGCAAACAAAAAATTAGGTATAATCGTAACAAGAAACGTGATCAATAGTTAGTCAATATCTATTGACGAAACTCTTTCTATATTCATAAGAGTCGACAGAAAGAAATATATGCATCTTTACCACAACAGCTTTTTACAAGACACTTCCCGGTGAAGAGCTTGATCTCGGTTAGAATTTTATTCGGTAACCAGTGCTTGTCATAAGAGGCGACCAACGAGTAAGGCTCTTGACTTGGTTCACCCATGTCATCGTATCCAAATAGCCCATGATGTCAATCACTGGATTGTCTGGTCCTGACTCGAGTATTTATAAACCGCTGTCATAGAGCTGGAATATAGATATGGAATCAAAACGACGTACACATAGTATGACGGGGGTAACATATGACGACAGAAGTCTCAGCACAGTTGGGGGAGGACGGCCTAGCATCATTTGTATATCTTTCCCGAACTTCTCAGAACCTGGAAGACAAACATAACACATGCAACTGTAGCAGGTTGTGCTTTTTTCCTTACATAAAAGGTATTTGCCCCTCCCTTGGGATCTGATAAGTGGACAATAACATGAGAAACAATTAATGGAGTGTGGTCAGATATAATAAATAGACAGTTCTCGTACAATACTTGCAAAGTTAGATAACCGACCATATCGCCAAATGATTTATATGTCATGAACGAATAAGGACTTCCGGTCTAATGACCCTCACCCTCAATCTCAGACACCAGACATTGTTAAATAAAAAGCACATGTGGTGATACAAATACACGTACAGTTAGCTAGTTACAGAGGCTATCTATAAAGTGTTGCTATCTATAAACCCGAATCAAACTGGGTCTAAGCTCAAAATATATTAATCTTTTTGGACCATTTACCGTAGATCCAGTAGATGACGACACATTCGAGGCAGCCAATCAGAAGTGTATTAAAGGAAGAGGAGTACCAGTCGAGTAACTGGAAGAGGTATACTCCTCCCTGAAATGTTCGAGTTGCATAATTATGAAATAATCATTTCACTGTGTGTTCAAAACAAACGAATTGGACAACATTGCAACATACCTTGAGCCAAGAATACCAAACAGTTAACTTTCTTGCTATAAGGTATGTTTCTCATCGACATTGGACGGTGTTATATTTAAGATTTCTCTTACACGACTTTCGAGCATGGAACCATATTAAGGGTTAACCGTATATGTTAGTTGGTTATGCACCACCTGAAAGTATAATACTAACATAACTTGCACAAATAAAAAAAAGAGGGTCTAATGCAAATGTGAATATAAGTATTATATAAAAAACAAACTGAATCGGGAACTGCTTGGTAATTATATTTCACGATTTGATAGTGATTCATAAAAAAACACTCGTTAATGATATTATCGGAATCCTACAATGGACAGAAGTTTCTTCTTATTTTGGAACGGATTTTGTCGCTTCATTTATTTCATTCAAATAGAACATCGTTGGAGATTAGGTAAGACATACTGTACTTACCTCGGTAACAAAGGGAATGGTAAGCAGAAAGCTAACCAGACACACGCCCAGTGTGATCAGCACGCGTTTTTGTGGAAGACCCCTTGGAAATGCTTCTAGAATACCAGAGATAACACATTCTACTGTACCAAACTGCAAAAAAAGTAAACGTCATATTTGTGGTAAATAGGAAACACCTGTAGATATCGTTAACAATACAATTGTGTGTCATTCGAACTCTAATTGCATACATGTAACAGACTTCATGAGGAATAGTTTTATTAAAGTTGAAATATCGCATAAAAGGCATATGCACAATTTTCCCGAATACCCACAATTGTTCGCGAGAATATTACTTGATGCGAACAAGGAGTTAGTTGTATGAAGTCTCTATACCACATTGACAACATTTACTGTATGAATCTGTTTACTAGTCATCTTATGGGGCTATGACCTTCAACGTGACCTTGACATATTATACAACTATGACATGTGACAGGTACTGAGGGGGTATACAATTGTAAAACAAAACTACCTAGAAATGTTAAATCGATACATATGCTGGTTCCTATACATTCCCATGGTGCCAATCAAAACTTTTGCTGTTTCCTATACTTTTCAATGGAGTCAGTCAATACGGTTTCTCGTTCCTATACTTTACCATGGTGGCAATCAATACAATTTTTTATTCCTATACTTTACCATGGATTCAGTCAATATACTTGCTAGTTCCTATGCATTACCATGGATTCAATTAATACACTTGCTGGTTCCTATACTTTACCATGGTGCCAATCAATGCATTTGCTGGTTCCTATACTTTACCATGGAGTCAGTCAATACACTTGCTGGTTCCTATACTTTAACATGGTGCCAATCAATATATTTGCTGGTTCCTATACTTTAACATGGTGCCAATCAATACATTTGCTGGTTCCTATACTTTACCATGGAGCCAATCAATACATTTGCTGGTTCCTATACTTTAACATGGTGCCAATCAATACATTTGCTGGTTCCTATACTTTACCATGGTGCCAATCAATACATTTGCTGGTTCCTATACTTTACCATGGAGCCAATCAATACACTTGCTGGTTCCTATACTTTAACATGGTGCCAATCAATACATTTGCTGGTTCCTATACTTTACCATGGAGCCAATCAATACATTTGCTGGTTCCTATACTTTAACATGGTGCCAATCAATACATTTGCTGGTTCCTATACTTTACCATGGTGCCAATCAATACATTTGCTGATTCCTATACTTTACCATGGAGTCAATCAATGCATTTGCTGGTTCCTATACTTTACCATGGTGCCAATCAATACATTTGCTGGTTCCTATACTTTACCATGGTGCCAATCAATACATTTGCTAGTTCCTATACTTTAACATGGTGCCAATCAATACATTTGCTGATTCCTATACTTTACCATGGAGCCAATCAATACATTTGCTGATTCCTATACTTTACCATGGTGCCAATCAATACATTTGCTGATTCCTATACTTTACCATGGTGCCAATCAATACATTTGCTGATTCCTATACCTTACCATGGAGCCAATCAATACAGTTGCTGATTCCTATACTTTACCATGGTGCCAATCAATACATTTGCTGATTCCTATACTTTACCATGGTGCCAATCAATACATTTGCTGATTCCTATACTTTACCATGGAGTCAATCAATGCATTTGCTGATTCCTATACTTAACCATGGAGTTAATCAATGCATTTGCTGATTCCTATATTTTACCATGGAGTCAATCCCAACAGTAAGCAGTGTAAAGAAGAACAGGACTGCCCAGAGTTGAGAAAAAGGCAGCTTGGCTATAGCCTCGGGGTAGATGATGAACCCAAGCCCTGATCCTGAAGAATAACACACAAAGTAGAAGGAAAGTTAACGAGAAAAATGTTCATGCCACCGTTTGGACGAGATACTCAACTTTTCTCGAACACCTGGTGTCATCACGTTATTCATAAACACATGCTCATGACATATTCGGGCGGTCGGGTAGCCTAGTGGTTAAAGCGTTCGCTCGTCACGCCGAAGACCCGGGTTCGATTTCCGACATGGGTACAATGTGTGAAGCCCATTTCTGGTGTCCCCCGCCGTTATATTGCTGGAATATTGCTAAAAGCGGCGTAAAACCATACTCACTCACTCACTCACTCACTCATGACATATTCGGAATCGTCCAATTGACTCTGCTTTTAGCAGAGATTTCCTATGATTCTAGAAAGGTTTTTGTCGCTTTTATTAACCTTCTACAGTACAATGACGTGAAGCCTGTAGCAACCAAGTACTGAGATGGCGCACACAAATGTGATGAACATGCGCAGGGAGAAGTGTGAGAGTGGGTGAGTGAGAGTTGGGTTTAACGCCGCTTTTAACAGTATTCCAGTTATATCACGGCGTGTCAGCTTAATGTGGGAGGGAAGCCCCAAGTGATGCAGGTCTCAGACGTTAACCTCTTCGGTGAAACCCACGAGCACGGGTATGGTGCTGACAAACCTAGAAACATAATCTGGGCGAACCAGGATTCGAACCCACAATCATAGGTTTCTGGCGTCCCCAAGGGACGCAACTCTGCACAGCGAATCGCGGCACCTTAGACGACTGGGCCACCCGTGCCCCCGTGAAGTGTGAGAGTGTCGGACGATCCTAATTCACGGTACGTAGGTTGGCATTTAGGCTGGGTACGTGCGCAGTGTATACGTCTGGAAGCCACGGGCATGATACTTTTACAAATGACAGGGTCATATTACACCTCAGGGGGACCAAACATCTCATTATTATACATCTTTTACGTTTACACCACGCTACAGTTGTCAATATTCAATCTCTGTCCAGCTGGAGTTGGTCCAAGTTGGGACTAATTCTATTTACATTGTTTGAAGACCCGAAATGTTGGAGATGAAGCTACATTCGTTGCTTGAGATAAGAGACGTACGGACCTGAGGATACGACTTCAGAGATGGGTACCTGAGCCTCACTGGCCATGAATCCGAGAGTAGAGAACACAGTGAAACCACAGAAGATGCTGCTCAACTCGCCAATGATTGTTATCACCATCACATCCCTTAAATTAAACATACATACAATTTTAATACACATAGCTTGTGGGGATTTATTCTTACAGCAATTCTTTTGGTATAAGCTGATGTTAGCTCAGACAGCAGTTTTCTGTCGCTCATAGTGACAGTAATCTGCAAAGGTATTGATATGCATCTTTTGTGAATCATATGGATTTTTGAAAAAAATGAAATAAAAAAATGTAATAAAAAGTATTTAGTGATGGTTTGATCATCAGCAGAACTTGATTACCTGAGACAATTATTGTGGAAGGGGTTGAAACTGCCCATGGTGATGAGGCCGCCATAGGTTGTATTCATCGAGTAGAAACTCTGCAGCAACGCCTCCAGCCACACCTGGCATCACCATAAGCTTATTAGGAGAACAGTAGAACTGGAGTTCCTATACATACATTCACGTGTAGAGCACTACTTAAAGTCAAGTCTCTAGACACTGTCATGCAACGTCCCAAATGTATTACTTTGGTGAACCTCCCTATCATTGTTACAGTAGAGACTATCTTACGACTCATATTATCCTATTGCTAGTAAACTCTTCATTTCTTATATTTTCTCCCCGTGAAGAACCATTAACCCATGCTTCCCGAAAGGGGTGACTAACGGGATTGAGTGGTCAGGCTCTGTAAACTTGATTGATGCGTGTCACCGACGTCCAATTGAGTAGATCGATGCGCATGATGTTAATCACTAGATTGTCTGGTCTAGATGCGATTATTTACAGACAGCCATCCTATAGCTTGAATACATAGCTGAGTGCGGCGTTACACAACAAACAAACAAAATGTCTTTAAAGTTATATTCAAGCTATTGTCCTCCGTTCATTGCAAGTAGACCATATTTCATGACACAAAAAAATTATTAACAACAACAACCATTCTAATTTGCATGATTGCGCGAGGATGAACGTGTCTTTCTTTCGAATCCTTTTTTCCTGCATACATACTCATATCGTGGATCATTTAGCCAAATAACAATTATTAATGTGCATCACCTTTTCAAGGAAAAATAGTGTTCACTCATCATGGTTAGTTTGGTAATGGTAAAAGCACTAAATGCATGTATAATAAATGTGTATGGTTCAGAAACATCGAGTGATGTCACAGGAAGAGGCGACCAACTTGGTTGATGCATGTGATCGGAGCCCAATTATAAAGAGATCGTTGCACATGTCATTCACCAGAATGTATTGTCAAGATTATTTTCAGGCCGTCGTCATACAGCTGGAACATTGCCGAGAGTGACGTTAAACAACAAACAAACAATCATTGCTGAGAGTGACATTACGCAACAAACAAATGTTGTATTTTCCAGATATTGTCCTCCATACACCATACACTGTAAGTAGACATTGCTTTTCATTTCATTTATTGACAACAATCATTCTGCGGCCAGGATTAACTTAACCTCCTTTTGACTCCAATGTTCCTGCTGCTGTACGCAACATACCCTTCTCGTTGATCATTTAGCCAAATGCCATTTATGAATGTGCATTACCTTTTTCGGAAAAAAAATATTGCTCCTCTCATCAAGGTTAGTTTGGTATAAAAACACTAAATTACATGAATGATATATGTAATGTCACCTGGACAGAGTTTAGTTGTGAGAAATCAGGTCTAAGGAAATACAGAAGGCCGTCCAGGGACCCCGGCATCATGCAGGACCTGATCAGCAGTACCGTCAGTAGGATGTATGGCACCACCGCTGTCACATACACAACCTGCAATATAGGGTTGCGTCACTGTACAGGACAAGGAACATGGAGTTATATACGTGAACATATAAGTGTGTGGAATCTGCAGACATGATCCACCATTGGTTCATTATTGGCACGTGTCGTCTTTGGCGTACCGGAAGTATATGATCGTGGGTTCGAATCCCTGATTCACTCTGATTATGATTCTTGGTTTGTCAACACCAAACCTATGCTTGTGGTTTCTACCAAAGTGGTAAACGTGAAAGATCTGTCTCGCTTCAGGCGTTCTTCCCACATGAAGCTGACATACCGTAATATAACTGAAATACCATTTTAAAGCTAATTTGAACCCGATTCTTTCACTCAATTTTGACAATTTTTGAATATATATTTTTCAAAACAAGACACGCATAGATGAGATTAATATGCATGAACGAAATACATCAGCACATATGTATATACCGTATATGAAACATGAAAAGTGTGTCAATTTCGTACTGCCACGACTGCCTGAAGTACAGCGATACAACGTGGGAGGACTGGAAACATGTGAATGGCTTGCTTTGGTGTCCCAGAGCCCTATTTTTAAACTTTGTTGTCGGCACATGGGGCGATGAGGTAGCCTAGTGGTTAAAGCGTTCGCTCGTTATACAGAAGGCCTGGGTTCGATTCCCCGTATGGGTACAATGTGTGAAGCCCATTTCTGAGATGTGAGATCGATATTGACACCAGTTATCTCAAAGATTAAAACTTGGATACTTTCTTATTCGTTCTCGTTTATAAAGTAACACCTCGATATTTCAGAAAGTTTACCTCCTCGTCTAAATATATATATATATATATATATAATATATATATATATATATATAATATATATATATATATATATATATAATATATATATAAATATATATATATATATATATATATATATATATATATATATATATATATATATATATATATATATTTAGACGAGGAGGTAAGCTTTCTGAAATATGTTATTGTGTTTGTGTCTGTGTTGTTAAACGTCGCCCTTAGCAATATTCAGGACAGAGTTATGGAACACCCATTCAATATGCATGGCTGCAGTATGATTAAGTCATTGCATACATAGTTGACAGCCATGATATGCTTCAAAAATAGAATATATATCTTGTTTGTTTGGTTTTAAGTTCATACTAAGAATTATTCCAGCTTTATGTCGTCTACATGTTAATAATTGGGGACAGACAAACCAATGGTCGATGTTATGAGCAACGCCTCACACCATAGAGACAAAAACCGATGTCACCGAATCTTACAACGACAAGTATAGGTTCTTGGAGACCAAATCTCCCCGTCAGAAGGGAATATATACACATAACAGTAAGACCTATAAACAGTAAGCATGGTGCATAAGAACAGAATACTTACTTTTCCAAATGACTTGACTCCGGACATCATACAGAGAAACAAGATGGCCCATGAGGCAACTGAGCACAGCATCAGGTGGGTCTGGACCGAACCTAGTGTTTCAACGCCACTGGAAACTCTCAGAACATTGTATCTGCAAATGGACATCAAAGCTCTATTTCACATTGCTTTTTCAAAACGAATATGATCACACGACTCTGCAGGTTTCCGGGCAAGCAGTTTAAAGTCATATTGATCAAATGTAACGAACGGGCTGAACGAGGCCTTTGAAGTGTCGAACTGATTGACCTATCCCCGTCGAATTCTTAAAATAAATATCATTATTTGACCTCCGAAAAGATTATTTGGATACAATTTTCAGTTTTCTAGAACCTTTTTTTGTAGTGATAATAACTGCAAGGCAACGCCAGAGAACAACCGGTCTCCAATATCGGCCGAAACTGCTTCCATTGGGTATAAAAGGTAAACTAGCGGTGACAAGGACATGTCTGGATCACTGAAAATCAGTGATGACACCAGGTGTGTGACAAAGGTAAGCATGTCCTTCCCTACTGGTAGCACCGCCACTCACACAATTTGCATAAAAGTTATTCAATTCATCATGGACATTCAAATTCATTGTTTCTGTTATATATTTTTACTTCATCACTAAACATTAACATCTTGTTTAACCAATCTATACCGTAATCAACTATAAATAAAAGCGACAAAACGCTTTCCATGTTCATAGGAAATCTCTGCTGAAAGCAGAGGTGATAGCATGATTCCGACTATATCATGAGTGAGTGAGTGAGTTGGATTTAACGCCGCTTTTAACATTATTCCAGTTATATCATGGCGTGTCAGCTTAATGTGGGAGGAAAGCCCGAAGTGATGCAGGTCTAAGACGTTTACCACTTCGGTGAAACCCACGAGCACGGGTATGGTGCTGACAAACCTAGAAACATAATCGGGGCGAACCGGGATTCGAACCCACAATCATAGGTTTCTGGCGTGTCCAAGGGACGCAACTCTGCACAGCGAATCGCGGCGCCTTAGGTGGCTGGGCCACCCGTGCCCCCCAATATCATGAGCAAGTATTCTTAAATTACTATCAAACAGTGAAGATACCAGGTACGATAATTATTTTGGTCGAGCGCATGTTGCCAGCGCTTCACTATGTTGCATAACCTTCATATTACTGAAATGTGAATGAATATCTTCACAAGATAAAGAGGGTATGCATGACGCTATTTACGTTTGTATTGCTGTAGAAATGACTGCTGATGTCCACTGACCAATGAAGACCACATTTAAACTTACTGCCAAAATTCTTCAGATGCTGTCAGTGTCTCGTTTGGTTTTCTCCACGGAGCGGTGATTTCAGGTTCATTCATCATAGTGTAATTGCCATTGACGTCGTTGTATGTTGTGTTGCCGCCGATCTCATCAGCGCATAGAGCCGTATTCCACCAGTTGTTGCAAGTCGTCCAAGGCAACATGGGCCAAAATGATTGATACAGATAGTATAGGGTCCACACAATAATCAGATTGTAGGAAATGGAACTTATGAAACACACTATGGCCTGTGAGATGCCAATGCCTGCAAAAGAGAAGCAACTAGTGAAAAATGATATTATGGCCATTCTCCATCGAATTTGACAATTTAAGTGATCATGTAAAAACATAACATGTACGTATTGTTATTAAGATGATTATTTTTCAATATATATGGTATATTCCACTTCAATGAGCATTTTACGACGATGGGTCGGTTTGTTTGGTTGTTTAACACACGGTTTAGAACCATTCCGGCTATACGACTGTGGCCTGTAAATAATCGAGTCAGGGTCAGCCACGCCAGCCACTGATATCGTGAGCAACGAGCCGCGTCGTCCGTGTACGATTAAACGTAAAGAAAAAGTAAACAAGTTGTCAACCCGATCAGTTTGGTGACCCGTGGAGATCAGGTGTTGAATAGGCAAGCCATGCTTGTCGTAAGAAGCGACTATACTATAACAAACAAGATTTAAGAAAGAAAAAATATTAGTACGAAAGAGATTTTGCTTTTTATCTTTTAATTATTTGCAGCTTAGTCGATAAGTTTCACAGCAAACCATGATCACGTTGAAACTCTAAACCATAATTACCTGCCAGCGCATTACAAGTGGTATTAGTATTACCATTATTACTGTGTACAGATTAAAATAAAAAATGCAGCAAAGAGGGTTTGGGTGATCCTGGCACAGTCAGGCCGGTTTGGCTCATCATCAGCTCTGGGCTCTTGCCCCCTCTACACGCAGCCCAGACAGCGAATGGGACTTCTCCCAGGAAGCGCTGCCTAGTCAAACCCACCCAGACCTTTTCGGAGAATGTGAAGACTCCCCAACACTGCAGCCTTCTGCATTACCCAGATTGTCAGAAGGGCTGTATTCCTGGTAGCAAACCCGGTAACTCTCCCAATGTCAACTCGCCAATGATTGTTATCACCAGATTTGGAGGTACCAAACGTAAGGCACCGAGAACAATGGGGAGTAGGACAACTTGGTACTTGGGATGCAAGCGTGATATTTCGAAAGCGAGGTCTGCATATTTGCCATGTTTTTCCTCAATCTTGTCAATCACATTAGTGTCAAAGGGGACAGAAAATGCATTGATATAAATGATTTCATTGATTTATCAATAAAGGACAAGATCAGGTTTGCTGGCCTTGATACGTCTAAGGCTGTATACGGGCCTATTCCAAAGAATTTTGTATTGATCATTTTCCATGACGCCCTCTACATATTCCGGGTCGTACCATGGATGGACCTCTGTGTCAAAACCACAAGCATTGCGAAGACGATAATACAATGATCGAGCTACACCATCATGTCGTTAAAGATACTGCGTTTGTGCCAAAGCTGGGCATCCACTGACAATGTGTTGGACAGTCTCATTATATTCATTACATATTAACATGTTGATGCAAAATCACACACTGACGGTTTCGAGTGGGATGTGACTGGTCCTGAGCAGCAAACAGGAAGCCTTCTGTTTCACTTTTCAGGCCAGACGACTTCATCCAAGTGAAGGACTCTGCAGGATTGCTGATCTTCTCAACACACTGCACATAAACTCGATGCAGTGGACGTTCAGATAGCCTCTCCTTTAAACCTGAGTCTCGGCCGACTTGATATGTCGCTTCGCTTGGTTGACACTCATTTCTGTACCGTCCAGCAGTACAGAACCATCAACAAATCAACACCGACATTGAGATTATGTCCCACATCCTTGGCTCGTTTCAGAAAAATAAATGTGTGCAAAAGTGCACAAAACAATTCTATCATGAAGAGCTCCAACGTTAATCAAACCACGTCCTCCCATAATGATTGGTAAATTTAAGCGATTGAGTCAAGAGCAAGGGTGGTGGGATCCATTGTCTGACTGATTCTTCGTGTGACGGTGTCAATACCCTGAATTTCTGATTTCGTCCAATCAACAACACCAAAAGAATATGAAAGGACGGGTACAGCATAAGTATTTGCGGCTTTAACTTTATTGCGAGCATTTAGCTGTGAGCTCAGATGTTCCTGGATATGGGCATTCTGGAGTTTGTCCCTAATCTGCATCCCTAAGTACGTATAGGCCTGACCTTCCACAAGATTGTCAATAACTCCTCCTCCGAGTATACTGACTGATCCTCCCTCTTCTACCTTTATTATTATTATAATTATTATTATTTACTCACAATTCCACTAAGGGAACAGGTACAACTACTGTATTTGAACATGAGTAAGTCTTTAACATAAGTTTAAATTCGTCCGTGAAATAATAAAACAAATTCCACTATCATACATTGTCCGTTCATCTTTCAGATGACAAGATTACAGAGCTATCCTTACCTTTAAATATTGGGCACATGTCCCACACATGAGCAGCGCTCCGGCTGGAGAACTGGCCAATGGACACCTCGAGAAAGAAGAGAGGAACGGCACAGACAAATAGCCCGCAGAAATAAGGGATGAGGAATGCACCTGAATAAAAAAAGCAAAAGCAAAATATAACCTTCACCAAATATTTCAATAAAGCCGAGTTATGAATATTTCATCAATGTGACACCATGACTAGATGGCCTGGTCAACTCATTATACAAGTCAAACTCAATCTACAGAGCAGCCTTAGTTCTATATTCATATTACTAATAAAAAGTATTTTGAGAAAAACATTTTGTTGGATGAGGATCTTGAGAGGACTCCATCTAATGCATTCCCCTTTCCCAACAGCCTTTGGTATTAAGCTTTGTATTTACCTGGGGCCCCAGTCGTCTCTGACGCTGCAAATTAGCATCACTTATACGTGCGGTACGAATCTCCAAACTGAGGTTTGAACGGTATTTTAGTTATATCAGGGCGTTTCGGTTTGATGTGAAATGGAACGAGAGAATTAAAAGGCGCACTTAGGACGAATCTAGCATTCGAAATTACGGTCATAGGTTTCTGATATCCCTAAGGGACGCAAATCTGCACACGATGGAGTCAACATTGCAACAAATCTTGCCTAACCTAGTTTTAAAAATCATTTTTGTGAAATCGAAAAGTGCATGAATTTGACTGTTTATGTTTTACTATTTGAGCCCACATCGGTTGGTGTCCATGTTTACTGCTTTACTTTTTAAGTGACACATTCAATTCTACAGTTTCAACAGTCAAACTTGTTCGCAAGTCATAGCAGAAAGAAAAGGTGATCCCTTTTAGGAACGGCATTCATTAGTAAGTACTTCAGGTATGTTAAACAAGGGATTACAGGCATACTCACCTCCACCGTTTCTGTTGCAGAGGTATGGAAATCTCCAGAATGATCCAAGCCCTACAGCATAACCTATCTGAGACAAAATATACTCTCGTTTGTTGGTCCAAACTTCTCTTTTTTGTCCTAGGTGATCAGTCTCAGCCTTCGTCCTTCTCCCATCTTGCGACATGATGATCCTAGTATGTGTTCTCTCGAGCAGCAATGGAGCTTGAATGAAGAGAGAGACAGTTTATAATAGTCCCATGTATTGTATTACATTCTGTGAATATATTCTGGGGTAAGATTTCATATGGCTCTTGCGCAAACATGTCATTACGTAAGCTGTTATTGATGATAGGGTTTTAGGGTCAAATTACGTTTTTCAATATACCCCTGTGTTCCCTAAATGTATCAAAATTATTGCCAGAACTGACGAACTGCGTCTTTTTTACAGACTTCATTCCGCATTTGACCAATTCGTTTTTTACCAACAGTATTGTCATAGTCATCATAACTGAGATCATACACTTTTCGTATTCAAAGGTGCCACCCATCATTTATTACTAAACATATGGTTGCGTGAAGCGTTTCCCTCAGCCATGAGTCTAACACAGTATGAGCAGTAATGGCTGTTGAGTATTGGATAAAGATGTTGTTTTTTGTATGGCTTGTATCAGTTCTACGTTTATACGGGTATCATC